CACCTCAGGAACGCCCACAGCAATACAATCCCTCATTACGTTCAAGATCGTCCGGTTCAACTTGTCCATCGTTCGCGGAAATCTGGGGTCATTGTTTTTTTGTCTTTTCCCTTCATGAGGGCCGGAACAGATGCCGATGGGGTTGTACACATACTTCGGATGCCCCCAGAGAAAAGAGTCAATGGGGTCAGGTCTGGCGGCATGGCGGTTCGAGGGATAGTCTGGTGTTTCCGATCGTCCGGTTCTGGAACTGTTGATGTGAAACTCTGCAAATAACAAGCGCTGCATGAGGCAACCTCATCTTGTTGCCACCAAGTTCGGTTGCGCCTAGGCCCCACAGCTGCTTCAACGGCTGGAAACACGCGATTCTCCAGCAATTCTTGGTATTAACCCCTCAACCCTGTTTTCTGAAAGCAACCCACCCTATGGTGGCAGTTTTCTCCTGAGAATCAACTGCGCACCGCATACACACACACAAAAAAATATATATAACACTCTTCTCGACGAGACGAGTTGGCGTGAACACATTCATTGGACTCAAACTCAACAGGGCGCGAGTACGTACTCGGGGTACCGGCTCAAGGGGCTAACGCTCACTGGATTCCCAGCATTATAAACAAAATGTTCCAACAGAAAATGAAACCCAAGGGCGTAGAGCGCTGTGACGCAAACACTGCTTCGAAACTTGGTGCCAGTGACCAGGCGGACGCTCACTTCCCCTGATGACTGCATTCCTCGTGGTCACGTGACCACTGATTTTGAATGTGACTTTATCATTGAAAATCACGTCTTGCATAAAGGGGTGTCGCTGAAACAAGATATGGCACATCTGGACTCTCGTCGGATGATCAGTTGGCTTCGGATGATGGATCGACCGAAATCTGTTGGGACGCATTTGGAGATTCATTCTTCATCATTCTCCTGACACTCCTGGCGCTGATTCCAACGGATTGAATGGTCTTGCGATGAGGTTCGCCGGTACCTTCCATCCTTTGCGGAAAGACTCGAACGATGACCCCGAACTGATCACCTTGGTTACATCGCGCCAAGGCCGCCATCCAAGCCTGAACCATACTTTCGGAAATGGTCTCGCGTCTTTCTAATTTGGCGAGGAGACATTGCAAATGAGGATCTCGAGCTAAAGCAGGAGCCACTCGGACGCTGAAGCTACCGAGCAACAAAATATTCTCTACACAGCAAAGCAGAAACGTACAGTGAGGTACATATTTTGTACGTTATGAGGTACAGTATGGCTCAAAAGTATTGCAACATGAGCGGACTAGGTTAACGGTTTGCTGTCCCCAAACTATGTTTCCCGCAATCATTTAAAGAGCTTAAGGACACTCCAACAATACAGTTAGTAAGATGTAGCCTGTGTAACTCGAGCGAATGCACTGCATAGTGCTCGTACAATGCTGACTGGGATCAGCATCATACTACATGAAGGGCCATGAGCTATCTTTGGAGGTCCGGACGAAAGCCTTTGGCATGATTGAGGCCGGAAAATCATAGAGGGAGGTTGCTGGCATTCTTGGAGTGCACTCAGCAAGTGCCAGTCGTTGGTGGAAACACCACAAGTCCAGAGAGAGCTTCTAATCAAGGGCTCGTCCGAGACATTCAAAAGTCCTTTCAACCTCAGCAAAAATTATATGCAAAAGCCTCAGAAAGAGAGGCATGTCCAGCAGGAAAATGACCTCCAGATTAAATAGTTTTGGCCTGAAAGGGTCTTTCATAACAGTCCAATGCTATCATAAAAATGATATTGATGCCAAGGCCTACAAGAGGCCTCAGTAGCTCCTTCTTATGGAAGCCATGAAGGAGAAGCATCTACAGTTTGCTGTGGAGTACTAATACTAGACTAGTGAAAACTGAAAACGTGTGGTACGGTCAGAAGAGTCTGTACTTCAGCTTTTTCTGCCATTCAACCCACAGTGTGACAAGATCTGGAGAAAGAACTATGCCATTTTCCCTCACGTCACCACAATCGAGCACCCACTAAGAGAGATGGGGTGGGGGATGTTCTCTCATCAGGCTTACTCAGAGCTCCATGTGATCCAACCAATTTTCAGCTTTGAGGAGCTTAGAAGTGAGCTTTAACGACACCATCATCCGTTGCCACGTCTCCGACAGTCGGTGAACTGTCATAGATAAGAATGTGACAGCTCAGCAATGATTCCAGGACGTGCTGGCTGTCACATAAACTGCACCTTCTCCACCCATCATCGAGACAGTAGGTAGAAAGCCCTTATAAAGACAATCTTTCAAGTTTATTGTAAGTTTCCTGCTCATTTGTACGAGAGTAAAAACTCCAAACCTGTCAGTTTACGCTTCTCTTTCCTCGCGCAAAACTCCAGCATTTAACAATTTCCAGAATAATAGATGGCCATTGAAACATGATTATCATACTTTCACCAAATACTACTTTACAAGTATCATGATGAGAAGAATACAGGGAAATGAAGAAAACTCTTCTCCTAAGGTCCGGCGCGTCCTGGTTTGAGACGGAATGTTCGGGGGAACATTTTATGTATATTTTGAGTGTTGTATTGGGAACCCGGAAATCTGCGCCAGCAACATACCAATGTTTGTCTGGACCACGTCCGCACAAAGGCACGCACGGAGATACGGTTGAGGACCCGAAGGACACAAATATGTACGTCTCACATTTGTACCTCTCCTTGTACGTTTCTACTTTGCTGTGTATCACAAACTTCTTAGTGGGCTAATTTGCCCATTTTTCAGCCTGCAACAAAAACGCATTTCGAGAAAAAAAAAACAACAACTCAAGCGTCGTCAAGAGTCTTTCGACCAAAGGAATTTCCATAGAAAAATGGCACAAAAAGTTTTGAACCCTCGGCCACATTTATGTGAAATTTCATGATTCAACGATGAAGGGAAGGCATTGAGATTTTCTATATTTATCGGCCCCATGTTCTACCTCATCAGTATTTAAATTACGGGGGGGGAAAAAAAAACGAAAAGGAGATTAAGCGAGAATGATGCCTTTATGGACCCTACCAAAAAAGTTTTAAGTGGACGTCCTTGCATTGTAATGACATTGACATGCTAAAGAGGAACTCCTCAGACCTGAAGCTGCCTCATTTCTCCTTTGGGCTATTCCATATTTTTCATTTTCCTTTCAGCGTTCATCTCCTATGAATTGTGAATGCTCAGTGCTGTGATGGCTTTGAGGTAGTTTTTTTTAAATCTTCGTTCCAGTCAGACAAGCGATGAATGAGACCAAAAAATAGCCGAAATATGACGGCAAAATGAGCTCATAACATAACGAAACTTGTCAAGAAGAAAATCGGAACGAAAATCATACCGATAAGCAAAAACTCTTTCGCTATGCAGCCCCGCCTATTTACATTCTACAATCCGCAACGCATTTTTTATTCTGCCATCTCTCCTAATTGAGGAGAGATGGCAGAATAAAATGTTGGCAAAATTGTACAGAGATAGAAATGTGAATCTTGGCACAGCAATAACTAAGGTGATGGTGAGTTCAGAAAAAATGCAGGTTTTGTGGTGCATACCCCTATGGCACAGCTTTTGGCTGTGTCGGCTTTTCCAAATATATTTTTGTACCAGCAAAAAGAGCAAACAGATAAGGCTGAAACTCGGTGTGCACGTAGTTCTCCGAGAACTTATTTCAGTAAAAATGTCAATTTTTAGGAAAACACCTTGAGGGCATATTTTTTTGCAAAAGATGCATTTCTCGGAAATTTTCTGATTCAATGAAGTAGAGAACAAAAAAAGGTTGAAACTTGGAGCAAAGTACCTGCTCGATTGCTGAGTACATGTCTTACTTTTCAAATATGCCCCCTCGGGGCAGATTATGAGGAGATTTGAAGTTAGGCACACAAGGAACAATGGGAGTAATTATTCCGATGAAAATATCGGTTTGTTCTCCCTCGATACAAATTCTGAAGGGCACATATTCTTAATGCGTTTTTGACACTTCTAAAATAAATTATTGAATGAATCACTATCCTAGAAATGGAGCGCCGAAGGCGCGACAATAGCGAGTTTGCTTGCCCGAAGGGTAAACAAACTCGCTAGTACAGTATAACTGTAGGCGCCAGGAGCTAAAAATAGGTGACACTCAAATGCATATATCTCGAGATCGGAGCAAGATAAAAAAAAAACCTCTGGAATTTATTTTCTTATAATCAATTCCTCTACATGTATACCGATTGTTGTCCAAATCGATGATGGTTGAGCTCATCCTCTGGTCGATTTGGTGTGGAGTGACCCAAGAGTCAAGAAACGTTACGCTAATTATGACTCTTTTTCGGCCGTTTCTTCCGAAGTATCCTTCGCCCCACACTAATATTGCACTAAACTGCTCAGGAGGAGCAGACGAATCGATTGATACCATATACGGCACCAAAAAAAAATGTAGGTGACTTTTGAATCACCCTGTACATGCTCTCTTTGAAAAGTGTGACTTGAGCAAATGACCACATGAACCAAGGAACATGATCACTTTTCACGCAAGAGGATAAGTGTGGCAGGTAATTGTATGACTCCCTGATGGCCATCGAAATCATTTGCACGTATGGGATAGCGATCCTAAAGGGAAAAGACTAAATGCGTAAAAGAATAAGGAATGTTTAATGGCAAGTCGTTGTTGACATAGTGCGAAGATACGGTATCAGGTAATGCTATCAGGTAATTTTTCACATTCAACGTTACTCAAGAACGCACATCAGTTCTTCAAACAAGTCATTGAAGCTCCTCAGATTTCCCCAACATTTGTTTGAAGTCCCAATGAAGCAAGAACTTGCAATATTTAATGGAAAAAGGAAGAAACTTCCCCAAGCGTTTATTATCACGAGAGGTGCTGGACTATTTTATACCGGTATTTGATAAGTCAGTTCCTTCTTTATGAGTTGGCGACACTCAGATATGGGTCAAGGGAGAGATCCACGAAAATCGCAGTCGATCTGGAAGCATGGCAGGGAGAACATGGCTCCTATGCCGCTAGAACGCATATCATGGATTACCCAGCAGGAGATTTGATTTTACGAGGTGCTGGATCGGACGGAGGGAATCGTGCTGCATGCGGTTGCTCCACTTCCTTCCTTTTCCTCTTCACCGGTCTCTTGTTAATCGTGACTGGGCAAATTCAAGACAAGGAAGGTGGTTCTCAGGAAACTCTCACGTATCTCGGTATTGCTTTCATACTCTCTGGAGTCTTCCACTTCTTCTATTTTCTCTTCAAGACTCGACACGTAAGTGGCAAATCTCCAACGTCATCTTTTCCAGCTAATCCCATCACTCTCCTATCGACAGTATTACCTTTTACCTTCATCATTCCATCAGTAGCTGAAGAATTATTTAGACGATTTATAATTCAGCATAGAAATAATTTGATCAAGGATAGAACATATACAGTATGTATATATGCATTATCCATTTAAAAAGACAAACCTAGACAAGAATGGCCTTGAAACCATAATGGCCCGATTTTGTTCCAACCGACGTCATCCTGGTGTTTTCATCAAGCTCCATTTATTGCAGTGAGATAAAACGTCCGACTTCATTGGGACTTGAGCAAAGATAAAGCATATATTCCCCTCTGGTGGATGTGACCATGTGTTCTCACGGCAACGTTCTTTGGATTCGGAAGAACAAAGTCATATCGTTGTGGATATTCTTAACGTGTATTCCTTTCGTGGCTGGGGTGACCTTGCTCATCGGCGGTATCGATGACGATCACCGAGAACGGGGGATCATCGTTCTCGCCGTCTCGGCTCTCTTCTTTCTGGGGGGACTCCATGCCGTTCAGATTAGGAAGGTGAGGACTGACAGACGGATCCGGGACACAGCATAACGTAGGCCTACACTGTAAACGATTGAACACAATGTTAAACACGATAGAATGAGACGATTATTGGAAGGTGATTGCTGGGTTTCAGACCAGAGAGGACGAGATAGACGTCGAAGGCGAACTACATGGAATTCGAGGAGGGTCGGAAAGGATCTTCACTATCAGTGGAAATCCCAATGCACCGGGGACGCCCAAGCCACCTCCTTACAGTGTGGCCGTGGAAGACCCACCACCGTCGTACGAGGAAGCAGTGCTTCCCCACATGGATGACAGTGATTCCCCTGCGGTGGATCAAATGGAGAACTCCTCAAGTGTCACCTAATCCCTCCTCAGTTAACATTTGAGTAACTCACGGATCTCTGCCTCCAGTGTCAACACATTTTTCTTCACTTCATCTTGAAGTTTTGTGCAATGAATTCGTGCATTCATTACAGGTGTCTACTGTAACATCGAGTCTATGGAGCTCGTATTGATATTTGTTAAGCCATTGATTAGAATAAATGCCATTTCTGAACTTACGGAACGCATGAAGGAAGCACGCAGTTCTTTTATAAAACTATTGTACAGGGGTGTCCATATTTACTTGGGGATTTTCTCAAGTCATATCTTCAAATGTAATAAAGATAGCAAAGTTATGTAACATAGAATAGATTCAGAAAATTTATGGATTTTGGATTAATTTTATACCTACCCCTACTCTCACATAACCTAGACTCGCATTTACCTGTGGGGAATCACCTATGAGTAACCTGGCTGCCGTGGGTGATTCCCATTCGGTCATGCAGAGAACTATCTGAATCCATCCTTTTAGGTCTAACGTGCCTCAGTATGCACCTCCAACAAATGAAAACAAAATTATGAATCTGTTTAATCTATTTTACATAATTCGATTATCTCCACTAAATTTGGAGATTAAACCTGTAGAAATCCGAAAGCACATCTGTGAGCACCCTCTACGCTGTTGTTCTCAGTTTCAAAGGAGACCCTTATAAGATAAATAAATGAAAGTTCATCAAAAGGATTGGATGAGATGGTCGTCACAGCTTGTTTAACATTTAACTTACGGCATGATTTTTAAACTGCCATTTCCCTAGTGCGACCAATTTCGAACATTTCACCGAAAATTTTTTCACTGTAGATGGACAAGTAAAAACGTTGACATACGTACATAGTTCTCTTCGGAAGCTTTATCCGATCACGTATAAAGGTTTTCATTTCTGTGGCTTGAGAAATGACAAGAAAGCGTGATTTATTTTTTCATAGATTGTTTGCTGCTCATTTATGTCTCGCAGGACAAACTTTACAAATCTCGAAACATATTTATATGCATACTGCTTGCACCTCATGTAAGAAAATGTACGAAATCACACTTATGCGAGACCAGCGTTTACTCAAAAGTTTTCATTTGATGTCTTTTTCATTCATCGATCTCTTTGCGTCATGGCTGTTGCTCATGCCAATCCCACTGTCGCAGACAGTTGCTGCGCAGCGCTCTTGTTTTCATTACTTAATGGTCAAATAAAATGGATTCCGACGCCATCTATGTAACGTTCCAACAACTTAGTTCGCAATGAGTAGATAACAGCAGCCATGGGACGTATGTATACGGCTCAGTAATTAAAAATGCGCTGAAACTACAAGGACGTATATATACAGGGTGTCTCATAAATACGTACTAGGGTCGTAGAGTACCTTCCCGGCCAGCTAGCAGGATTTGTTCAAAAGATAAATTAATTCCAGATTAACAGGGCCGGATTAAGAAGTTGCGAGGTCCGGGGCAAAGTGAATTCTTGAGGCTAGCCCCCCCCCCCGCTATTTTGCACAAATATTTAACGTTAGTTTCCTTCGGGGGCCCCCCTGGAAGAATGGGGCCCGGGGCAACAGTCCCCTTTGCCCCCCCCCCCCCGCCTTAATCCGGCCCTGCAGATTAATTTAGGAATTTTTCAGACATTTTCATTGACTTTTTGAAATTTTACATTGAATTTTTGACATTTTACATTTGAATATTAGATTAAGATTATGAGTTGTGACTTGGAAGAAGCCCGCGTGGCAGATCGTCTTCAAGCAATCGCTTTTCGGAAAGCTCGTGACGCAGAAGCATCGTTCATCAACCGCTAATGGGTGGCCAATACTCTTCACCGTTCCGTGGAATGGGTCACCAAAACGTGGAACAAGAACCAGAACGACTGCTTCACTGACTTTTCAACTCGCAGTCGTCCCATCAGTCTTCCGCAAGAAAGTGAGGCAATCATCAATGCAGGTATGGGTTTTCAGAGGAAGAGCTGTCGCAAATTAGCAACTGAGATCCTTGTCCTCGGGGAGAAGCGGCATTCGAAGGACACCATTTTCATCGATATCTCAAGAAAGCGGGATTCAAGTCGTTCCACGTCATCTCGAAGCCTTTGAAGACTGACCTCAATCACAAAGATCGTTGTTTCTTGCAAACTCTGTCGCTGACTCTGATGAAGTTCATTTCTTGCACTTCGCGTTCAGTGATGAGTTTTTCATTTATGCAATCAGGAAGCTGAACGATCAGAATGACCGGATCTGGGTCAAAGAGCTTTCACAAAGCTCTCAAAGCTTTCAAAGAGCTATCACAGAAGAAGAGCCTTTTCTCTTCGAAACTCTTTTCTGCGCAATGCCCAAGTGCATTCGAGCCGTGATCAAGAACAATGGTGGCCATACTGAATTTTGAGTTTTCGTGTTTTTTAAATAAAATTCAAATCCTTGTAACTTTTCGAAGAGTCAATGAAAATGTCTGAAAATTTTCAAATTAATTTGGAATTAAATTATCTTTCGAGAAAAAAAAAAATTCTGCTAGCTGGTCGGGAAAGTACTCTACGACCCTAGTACGTATTTATGAGACACCCTGTACGTCTGCCACACTTCATTGGACATAATCGAGAGACGTACATATACGTCCACCGCACGTTTTAAAACCTTGTCCTTCACGCTACGGAGGAGCTGAGGGGTTTGGGCGCCGGAGGCCTCACGACGGTTTCGGGAAAACACAGCCTGTTGTTTCTTCTCAGTGAACACCTAATCGCATTAATCGGTCTCATTCGCTTTTTTTTTTCTCTTTTGCCATCCCTTCTCCCCGAGCCTCTCATCGCATGTGTCCCTTCATCCGTCAGTCTCTCTTATTTGCAATTAATCATAGAAAACAGCGCACTCGTGGAGTCACTCCACTGCAGCATATCCGAATGGAAGGCAGACAGAGGAACTCCTCTTACTTGACGATGAGATCTCTCTATTGAGGGGACCTCCCTCGAGTCTGATGTCTGAACCTTTGAAAAAGCGAAAGAATAGCAGTTGAAAATCACGTGCGGGTGGATCCATTGGAGTCGAGCTCAGGGTAAAAATTAGTGAGGTTGTATGGGCCCGTGGTTGTGGTGGATGACCCTTCTTCTTTCTTGCTCAGTTTTGCTCTCGGCACCAAGTCCCTGACTTTGATTCACGCTTTCAACACGTTAGTCAAAGTCCAGTCCAATATCGAGCGGCTCCTGAGTGCAGTGGCGTGTAGACCCCTTCTGGTGGGACGCTTCTCCCAAGCATCTCAGGGGGCTCCATCACCCAAGCCCTTTTTTAAAAGTTATCTTTGCCCGACCATACCAGAGAGAGAACCCAATTGGAGTGAAGATAGATATAGACGAGAATATAGATAATAGATATAGGAAGAAGAAATGTATACGTGGCGCAGAAGTGCCACAGCCGGCGATACTCACCAAGGCGTAGAATTTAAAGGCATGATAATGCTTTCCAATATGAATCGCCATGCAATATGATTTCCCTCCATACGATTCCTCACCCTCTCAGTTCGTGTTCACGTTTCATCCGTAACTGCAAGGTGCTTTTGGAGAGGCTCGATCAATCTCTACCTGGCAATTTATAAGCATATACACCATCCTCTGAGAGCATCCGTCAGAAAACGAGGCTCTATGGAAAATCACACCAGACGTAACTAGGGTCTCTGGATATCTCCGGGGGAAAAAAAAGCAGAAGGAATGAACCAGTGTCAACAAATTTCAATTCGGTCATTGTTTTCGTCATTAACTGAACTAATCAGCCATTTTTTCATTCGCAAATTTTCATCACATTTCTATCACCCATATCCCCTTTGAAAAAAAATCGTACGATCCATGGCTATTAAGGCCCGAATACGGAAACCTTTACTTAACGGTCTCTTAGAATACATGGATTCCTATGGGGGAAAAAGCTATTTGGCTTAAGGGCCCCTTTACCCCTCCTAAATGAGGTTTGTGCAAACGGGCCAAAATGTTTTGACCCTGACGTTGACATGAAATCAGGGAGAGCTGGAGTCGAAAAGCGTCTCCTGTCACACTATGAGCAGAAAGAAAATTTATCATTCTCTCTACAGGTTAATGTGTGTGTGGTTTTACTTTACCTGTTGCAGATATCCTATCCAAATAGGAAAGAGAAGCTTATGATCCCGTCCTGTTTCCATTTTCGTAGTCAGACGACAGCTAAAAAAGCATAGCTCTCTTCGCTGATAAAACAGGTTGAAGGGCAGGTATGGACAAGATACAGTCTAAGTTCGTTTTTGGCACAATTTGAGCATAAACACTTGAATGACAGATTTTAAATGTGAAATTCGTTCACTACAGGAAAGGCATTGGCAACCACCAGTCCTTCAAACCCATACATAGGATGGACATAAAGTCCCTGGGGGTTTCATGTCCGTATGCTTGGGAACAGGGTGGTGTAGAAATGAGTAATATGCATCACTTAAAATGTTATCTCAGAAAATTATTTACAGCACACCATACCACACATCTCACACTTCCAGATGTCTGCCATCTTTGTAAACACCTATAAGCAACCTTCTCATGAACTCATCCAGAACTATCTTAAATTGAGCAGGTGTGATGTTCTGGACTGCTCTCTCAATGCATGTGTGCGCATTTCAACCCTGCTTCATGGGTGCATGGCATACGCAATGTTCTTTCTTTGTTACTTTCTGTCTAGTATGCTGCACAGAAAATGATTGGATTATGCCAGAAGCACAGACAAAAAAAAAGGACCTCTATAGCCAACTATGGCAGAAGAATAAAAGATACACATTGGTTTGACAATCAGGATATTTCAATGGAGGCATTTCTCAAATTTGGCAATAAAAAATCCAATAGTGTCATTATCACAGGATGAATGATCTAATAAGTCACAAATACAAGGAGAGAATCTCTGAACTTTCTCCCTGTCTTCTGTACTCAGCTTGGAGTCCTGAGAACCTGATCCACCCAACTTTGGTAATGCTGGAACCAGCCTCAAGGAAGAAAATTCATGTAATGCCCAATTCACCAAGCCTTCATTCTCAGGAAGAGTAATTGTGCAGGTACTGTATACAAGAGTTCCACCTGGTCGCAAAAGGCCTTCAGCCTGGTCAAAGAAAAATGAAACTTTATGACTCAGTCAAGTGGGGGAAGAAAACAAATAACTAGGTGAGAAATTCACCTGAGCAAAAAGCTTCCTCTGAAGACCAGGGTATGTATGCAGATGTTCAGTATGACAGGGACCACCAAGCTCAGGTCTCTGCCCCAAGGCACTACAAGGAGGATCTAGGAGTATCTTATCAAAGCTCTCTGGAAGAAAAGGAGGTCCATGCGGTTTTCCCATAAATTCCGCAGATGTGGAAATGGCTTTTGTTGAATCTCCAACAAATCCATGCAAGTTTATGATCTTCAACTTCTCAGCATTTCTGGAGATTTCCTCTACCTTGCGTCTGCTCCTGTCAACTGCAATCACCATGCCCTAGTTTAAGTACGAAAAAAAAGCAATCAGGAAAATACTCACCAATAAACCAGAATATTAAGTAAGTCATGGATGGCAAAGAAGGAACCTTGTTGCACATGAGGGAAGCAATATGAGTAGCTTTACCACCAGGAGCAGCACACATATCTAGTATTATATCACCAGGTTCAGGACCCAAGATATGACAGCAAAGTATAGATGGAATGTTCTGAAGGAATCCATATGAAGTGAGGAAATCTCCCAAACTTGGTAGATTCACTGTTGACTCACATATGTCCACTGCTACACCCCTAGAGAATTCACAACATTTCACCTATCAAGATTATACAGTGTGCAGCTTTCTATCATACAACTTGGATGCTCACTTAGTGATATTCTGCTTGAAGATCTGGTGCCTGCTTATGGCAGCAATTCCATTTCCCAGGAAATGTTTCTTTCCAGTGAACAGCTCTGTACTCCCCTTGAGACACTTCTTCAGTGTGTCACAATAGACTGAGACTCTGTCTCCTTCCTGAATGCCTGAAAGAAAATCATTAATATTGTTATGGATCATTTTTCTTTTCAACTCTAAAAATAATTTCAAAATGGACACAAACTTGGATCATAACTGAGGATCCCAGGTACATAGACCTTGGCACCTCTAAGGACTGCATTTCCACATGGAATATCAACAATGACTTCCTTGACAGCTGGTTCAACACCTTTTCTTCCATGTGATTCAACCACGACCACATCTGATAATATTGGATGCTGATAGAGTCTTGGCATGTCAGAGTTTTTTCTGATGCATTCCTAAAGGGAATCCACACATGATCCTACCATAAGCCTCTAGGCTTATCCTACCATATCTCAGGAAAAAAGTCTGGCTGCTCAAGAGGAGATAGATAGCACAAACAGAGTTCTAACCATCACTTCACTTATCTCAATTGAAACAATCACATATGTAGTCAGATGTTTGCAGACATCAAAGTATGAAATAGTGAGCAGAGGAAAGTAAGTAATAATTCTTGGTGATAAAAGCTGACCTGTAGAAGCATAGGAATGGTAAAATAGGGTGGAGATAAACCATCCCTCTGCCCTTACCACTGCACCTCCAGTTGGGCCTTTCAGTTAACTTTTTCTTGTACACCCAATTCATGTTATACTCAGACCTGATAGTCATTAGTAGTTAGGGCCTGCTTTTGCAACCGAATTTTTGAAGTTCTTGGTTGAAGTCTGGGAATGCTGTTCCCATTACTTTCTTCACTTACTATGCTGATGCAAGAAATGCCTTCTCCAGAGGCCAGATTCCTCTTGGAATAATAGTACATAATAATCAAACCTCAAAGTCAAGGACACCAAATTTCTTGAGGCGGGGATGAAGAAAAGGTTTTGATTATCCACTACCCTCCCTCTTTTCCTCATAAGTCTGGCCCAACTGAAGCCTGAGGGGGGGGAGGGGTTCATATGCATTACTCAATTACTCATTATCATCCTCTTGTGATTTTAGGAAATAAATACAGGTATGAAAAAAGCATTATGTTGTATGGAAAAGCTAGAAAAGGACTTAAGCAGTAAGAAAAATATGACATAAAAGCATTAAAGGGACTGTTGACCCATATGGTACTCCAAATAACATAAAGGTATGTCTCATAATACCCAATATGGTGGTCCAGTGGTCAGAATGCTGAGTGAATTGGCATACTATACAAAGCAGGTTGAGGCAAGGCCTACACACAACATTAAATTAAAATAACCAGTATAGGCTCAGGCCTACCTTTTCCAAGAAAGTCTGAAGCTTGCAGATGAAGGAAGACACATCAGTCACAAGGGTATTGACTCTGATGGTTGAGAACTTAGGAGGTATTAACTGGCACTTTGAACATCCAGATTTGACATTGTTCATGGTGCCTTCTCCTTGGTTCATCCTTGTCTTGAAAGATGACAGGATTGGGATTCAGCTGGAATCTTGCTACTTGAACCTTAATAATACAATTTCCAAAAGGGAGAAAAAATCAGTGAACTATTGGCTTGTGGCACTATTTTCACAAGGGAAACATAGCTATTAACAACAGATTGAGCAGAGATGAGTGAAACTGTCAAGGTGTCACAGTTAACTCTTTCACAATGAGTAGAAAATAATGCCCCAAAAAGTGTTTCTGAAGGAAGAATGCAATCCTGATCCCAATTACAGCATTCAGGGTGTTCAAGTGTTCTGTGGTATCTGTATGGCAAAATACCCAAGAAATCAGATGGCATATACTCTTACCCTAATCTTGCCCCTGTCTGATGCAAAAATCCTTTACTTGAGTCTGCCTAATTCCTATTGCTGAAAAGTGAGCAATGCAAAAAAATTTAATGAATTTTACAAGCAGTTCTTTCATTTGATTCCAAATGCTAAACATTTATTTTTAGCTCTTTTGCAAGCCTGTGCATCATACAATAAATAAGGGTGAGAATAGGCCTTCAGTTGCATATATGTGAGGCTGATTAATCTAATCGGTTTGTTAACCACTTGTGTTTTCTATTTGACAAATAGTATCAACTAGCCCAATACTAAAGTGCCCATCTCTGAAATTGAGAGGGTCACAAGCAGCATAAGCTCACATATGGCCTTTTTTAAACTGGTGGGTTCAAAGTGCTAAAAGGCCTTCTACTTTGAAAAAATTGCTATGCATAAAATTTTCTTTTTATTTGTATTTTTACAGGTCCTTGTGAAGCTCTGGCTCTAACATATTTTTAGTACTTCAGAGTCAAAGTGATACAGCCCAATTCTGAAAGGTTTGCAAAAACACAAACACTATATTAAATAATCAGTTAGAAACTCCATTAAGCCTAACATAATGCCACAAAATGAGGAGATCCATTCTGGTTCTAACCCCCTATCAGTTACAGTCAAACCAAAAGTCAAGAAAAATAACTTCCTTAAATCTGCATAAAACATGAGAGATCTATCATTACCTTTGAGAAACAGATTGAAACCCATGTGGGAGTTTAAGTGAGCTTTCAGATAGTCTCCTATGCTTATAGAAGCTGCTCTGCATACTCTCAAGGTGAATGAATACATGTGTGTTGGAAGAACATTTTTTGAACATTTGGAATAACAAGAAATTGGAAGAACACATTTTGTGTGTTCTTCCAATTTTGTTCCTTTCATGCTCTTTCAGAAAAGACAATGTTTTATTTGTCAGCCCAGAAATACCAAAAATTCTCCAAAGGAATGCATGCTAGTTGGACTCACATGTTACTCAACACTTTTCACTTATAGCTAGGAGTTAATGTCTAATCTTCTATTAAAGAAACATTCATTAACAAGAATTAAGTAGCAACAAACTGATAAATTTTCAAAATATAAAATTCCTAATTTCTTTTTATCCTGTTAGCACATTATTAATGCTGCCAACGTTTGAAATTCTCAAGTGATGCTCCAGAGATGATAATGTTATCTCCTTCCAAATCTTAGAATGCACACTTTAGGGCCTGATAACTCTGAAGTTTTTGAAGTTCTGTAAAGAGTCCTTGCCTACGAATCAGCAAATTTTTGTCAAGATCAAAATGGGTTGCTTCTGGTAAAGTGAGGTTAAAATCACCAACCTGATCATTTTATTCTTTAGTTATGCCCACTTGACATTACATCCATAGAGATTGCAAAAAAAAGTCTATCTGTTGGCCTGTAGTACTTCTAATCAAACTTTGATGCTTGGCAAAATGTGCAGCTCATAGCTTTAGCAACTTCTATCGGTTGCAATCTGTATAAATGAGACTTTAACACTTTGTCCTTTGTCCCACTGAGTGGGCCATTGGTCAGTGTTCTGAAAATAAAATTGACCCCAAAGGGTTAATCAAACTTGTAGATCACAAACTATAACTGTAAAAGGAACAAGTACAGGAGTGCACTTGCATTAATGCCTTTGATGACATGAAGCAGGATTCGTATTTCCAACTTCATGGAAACAATAGCACAAGAAACTACATCAAACAGCATGAATAAACCTCAAGTCTGAAGCAGCCAAATAACTTTAGGATTACTTTCTAATTTTTCGGGGAGTGAGTAAGTGAAATGGATTTGACAAATATTTAGAGGTCTATAGGGTCTATCCCTTTTGCGGCTGGCTTCAATAAGTGGTCGCATTAATGGACAAAACAAAAATGGAGGAAACAATGCAGATGTAAGTGAGAAGGCAGTAGATTGCGTCGCTTTCACCGAAAGCGTTCATTATTAGAGAGGTAGGCCTATCTGAAACGGGTAGTGGTAGGAGTAGCGCTTCAACTTGACTCAGGGCGTCAATATAACCAGAAATTCCTCTCCATATCCCACTTACACATACTATGTGCCGACGGCGGCTACCATAATGCATCAATGATACTGGTATCGGCCTACCAATGTTGCCAAGCGGCGTATGCATGCCGTATCGCACAATAAGCGTTGCAAATTCATCACGCGTAATGGGCCTTGGCAACCCGGAGCAGCTATGTGACTTGCCCCGCCCAAACCCCTGCGTCTGCAAACATGACCAAAGCTTTCCCGAGCATGCGCAATGTAATTGGGTCTCGGGCCGGTCCTGAGTCACGTTTTATATACGAGTCTTTGTCATTCTGGTGAGACCCGTCAGCGCACCAGCTCAATTCGTGGATCTCAAAAAAATTTTTTTCCCCGGTGAGGTGTCAAAGGCAAAAGAGTGAGAAAGTCAGCCTCTGTTGGAGAACGATGGGTCAGTTGAGGTTGAAAAAGGGTCCTTCGGTCGCGATTATTAGGTTGAGTCAACCCATCTCGGCCGCGATTATTATTAGATAGGTTGACTTATTCTTTCGGCCAAACAGAAGGAATACGGCTCACTTGGTCTGTGTTTATCGCTTCTTCTCTAAGGTTAGTTTGAGTTTGGGTTTAGTGAAAACCCAAAAAGCTGATGGAACGTTTGTCTGAGTCTCTAGCTCCGAATTGATTACATTATTCAGTGGGAGAATACGGCACTTACTGTTACAACGGAAATGGGTGCTCACAGCCTTCATTCAACATGGCTGTCCGCGTGTTTCCCATAGAGAATAATGTATATACTTGAAGACTTGAAACATTGATTTTTCATTCAAAGCGCCTCCGTATCTCATGCATTAATAGCCTTATGGAACCCTTTAAGACCCATCCCCGGTGGCTTCACAAAAATCTGAGGTGGAGGACTAATTGTAAAGGTACTCCGTTTGGAAGATTTCACGTAATTTCTACTAGTGTTGCACTGAAAACGTGCATGCTGCAATCGCTTCTGTTGACGGTGAAGGGTTCTTTTCCATATTAACCCTTTTGCAGGGAGTGCGACATTTTTGTCGTTTTAGCATACGGGGAGAGCGACACTGACTGACGACACCGTGACTATGAAGGTCTTCGGAATAGTTATGAACATTCTGGATGCATTTAAACAAGTCTGTTTCAACTTATGGATTTGTATTTGACTGATTCGTGTTTCAGGCCAACTTCTACCAAATTAATTCACCCGCAGGGACCTTCACCTTTGAAAAAATTCACCTGCAAAAGGGTTAAAGCAGATTCTGGCAAGGAAACTCAATCTGCAGAACCTTGGGCAGACCAGACTCTACAGTGCAACTTGCACAGGTGCGTGGTTGCCTTCATCAGTATGGTATGATATGGAAATGCACGAGTGCGTGTTTTGTCATATTTTTCATAGTATCCCTTTTCCACAGAACTTTACTGGCGTCCAAAAAAAGTTACAAGGTAATGTAGGGCTCGCCCGCGTAGTTGGAGTTGTGATAGCATTATAATTGTCTTTCGCTGAACAAGTCAACACCGTTTGAACATTATTAGCGTGTGCTCGCTAGCCTTTGAGCGCTGTGCACGTGCCACGTCAAGAAAATGTCTAATTAGGTTTTCTTCATGCCATATGTGAAGTTCAGATTTCCATAGGTAAAAAATGGGTTGATTCCACTGCGCATGTCATACAGTCTCCGAAAAGCATCAGAGATAAGCCAAGGCTAACGCAGCAGGCAAAGGAACGGGGCGACGAAAATTCTCCAAGAGGGTGTGAGGGATTTCTTCGAGGAAATCATAGCGGCTAATTATATAACTATGTTCAGATTTCATAATAACGCTAAAAGATTATTCAGGACGTTATCAAAACCTGCTTCTTCGTTCCCTTTCATGCCAATGTGTAATTTTTCCTTGCATATTCTTGCCCATATTTCAGAAAGTAGTCATGCATAAGAACCACTACATATTCATGTGATGGGATATGAGTAATATGACCAGGAAAAGTTGAAAGGGAAGGAGGGAGGGGCAGATGGCTGTCAAGAGGGTTGTTGCTGCTGTTGATGGGCCGTTTGCTTTTCTGTGGCAAATTAGGCTAAGTGCACTGGATTCGAATCCCATTCGGCACAACAACGTTGTGTCGACGTTGAAAAAAAGGTTGATGGCAATGTTGCCTCAATGTTGAGAAAAGGTTGACTTTTCAACGTAACATGTTGCCATGATGTTGCCACAATGTTGAAATGAAACACAGCTCAACGTTGAAAAGTTGATGCTGTGCGACGTTGTGTCAACGTTGAATTTTCAACGTAAGGGCATTATAGTACCTCCTCCCTATTCCAGGGTTTGAATGAGCTTTGATTGTCGGATGAAATTGAATATGGATTCGATA